CCCCCCCCCGGGAGAAAGGGAACAAGCTGACCATGTGCCCTCCACCCTCCTGGGGGTGTTCTGTGTCCCTTCCAGTCACAGGAGCATCTAAGGAAGGAGACTGACCATGGCTGAGCTTGAGGGGCCAGGCTCTGGGACCCTTCCTTGTGACCAGGCTCCAGACGCCTCGAGCCAGGTCCTGGGGGCCTCCATGCCACCTCTAACCTTTGCACGCCCTCCTATCTAGACTTGGGCCTCAGCCTAGAGATCACCTCCTCCTGGAAGCCCTCCCATGGCCAGGATGCGATGGAAACAGCTCAGCACGCGCTCCGAGGGCCCCACGTGGGCAGCAGGCCCCCGAGAAGGCAGCAGAAAGCACAGAAAGCCCACACAGGACCTGACCCAAGGCCTCATGCGTGAGAACCTGTCCACGGGTGCCTGAGCCCAGGAAGCCCAGGCTGAGGGCGTGGGGGGGAGTGACCGACAGCCCCGCCTCAGTCTCCCCACCTGTAGCATCGGGGCGTTAGAGGGGTGAAAGCCCCACCCCCTCCTCCAAGCTGCCCCGGCTGCCCTCCCCGACACAGGGCTGCCCCAGGACACCGCAGACAAGCCTGCCCAGCAGAGGCCCACTGTCACCCCAACACGATGCCCCACACACGCAGGCCTGTGTGGACTTTTCTGTTTATTTATTTAAAACAAACTTCTGTGCACTATGTACAGGGAGGGCTCCCGGGGGGCAGGCGGGCAGGGTGCCGAACTGGGTGGGGAGCAGTGGCGGCGGAAGGGGTGGGAGGGGTCCGCATTCTCTCCCGGCCAGGGGGCCGCCTTCGCCATGCCTGGTACCCGGCCCGCTGCCCCGAGGCAGCCCCTGCCCGGCCCACAGTGGTAACCTCAGGGTGAGGGTGCCCCTTCCAAAATGAATAGGTGCCTGGGGCCGGGACCTAACTCCTCCCGCCCTCAGCCCCAGGCCTCAGCAGCCACCTTCCTTCCAAATTGGGATGAGAAAGCAGCCAGGACCCACCAGGAGAGGGTCGGGTGTACCTGGCAGCCCGTGTCACCCCCAGTGGTCCCAGGGAGTGGAGGGCAGAGCTGGGCAGGGGCAGAGGCGAGGGCTCAGGCCCCAAGGCTTTAAGGCAGAGCAGGGTGAGGGTGTCGCAGCCCAGGGCCGGGCCAGCCTTTGGCACAATGAGGGGAGGGCAGCCACGGCCGAGGGCAGGGGGCTGGAGGGGGCTTGAAGCCCTTGGTCCTGGACGTCCCACGCCAGGGCCTGGTGGGTGGGGCCCTGGGGGCCCTGGGGTGGGGACTCGGCCACCGCCTAAGTTCTATCCCCTCCTGAGTTCTGTCCTTTCCGGCGTGTCCTTGAGCCAGCTCCTGGTGGTCAGCAGAGCGTGTCGGTGTTGAAGGAGAGCTGGGCCTGGTAGATGGCAGACAGACAGGCTCAGGGAGGCACCTGGCACCCAGCACTGCCCAGCCCCAGGACTGACCGTGGTCCCTCCCACCTCCCGCTCCCCCTCCCAGAGCTTTCCCAGGGTGTGGCCTCTGCTTGGTCTGGGGTCCCCCCACCCCCCTGCTCTGCCTGTCTCTGAGGCCCCTGCAAGTTTCCGGGTCTTGAGGGGTTCACAGTGAGTCTGTCTCCTATGCCTGTGCCCACTCTTTCCATGTGCACTCCTGTCCTGAGCATCAGGGGGGATCCCTCTGACCCCTTGAGCTCGGGACAGCAGCAGTCCCTGTGTCCACTGGCCCCACATCCCAGAGTCTCTGCCAGCCCAGCTGCCCTGACCCTCGGGGCCCTGCTCACCCGTTCCTCCTCGAAGCTGATGAGGCCCTCGTCCTCCGTGTCCAGGTCCTCAGGCTCATCGGCCACAAGCGCCCGTAGCTCCGTGGGGGCCGGCCGGCGCCGGAACAGGCTGAGCAGGCGGCCCAGAGGTGACTGCAGGGCCGAGGGTGGCTCTGTCTCCTGCTGCTCCAAGTTGTCACTCTGCTTCTTGGCAAAGTTCACAAACACCTGGTGGGCAGAGAGAGGCAGGTGGTGGGCGGAGGTGGGCCTGGCGGCCGTCGCGCCCCCCAGCCCAGGTACTCACGTTGTCCAGGGTGGTCTGGCTGACCGAGTAGTCCTCGATGCCCAGCATGCCCACCACCTGCTCCATCTTGCTGAACACCTGTGCCAGTGAGATGCGCTCAGACTTCAGCTGGTACTGCACCTTCGTGTGATGCCGCTCCTGGGGGCGTGGAGATCGGGAGGTCAGAGGCTGGCCGGCAGCGCCCCCGCCCCACCCCGGGCCCCGCCTACCTTAAGCATGGCCTCGGGGAAGTTCCGGTTGAAGAACCGCACCACGTCCTTCACGTTCTGGCTGCTCTTGGTCCTCACCGTGATCATGTAGCCGTCTCCAAACCTGCCGGACAGGCCCACGGCCAGAGCCCCAGCTGCCCGGGGTGCCCTCCACCTGCCCAGCACCACGGCCCGCCGCCCTCGCCTGACCCTCCGCTCACCGGTTCTTCAGGTGCTGGATGCTGCCCAGACAGCGCAGACGCCCGTTCACCATGATGGCCAGCCGCGTGCACAGGGCCTCGCACTCCTCCATGCTGAGGGTGGAGACACACAGGCTGGCACCTGGGGCAGAGGAAAGGTGGTGCAGGGCAGGGGGAAGAGGGGTCCACACCTGTGCGATGTCAGCACCACTGAGCGCCCAGTCTTGATGAGGTCCAGGATGAGGTTCCAGAGGAAGCGCCGGGCCTTGGGGTCCATGCCTGTGGTGGGCTCGTCCTGGGGGGGGTGCCAGGCTTAGAAGCCGCACCTCTACCAGCCACCTCCCTCCTGGGCTCACCAAGCAAACAAAGGCAGGGTACCCGGCCCCCCAGGCTCACCAGGAAGATGAAGGCAGGGTACCAGCCCCCCCAGGCTCACCAGGAAGATGAAGGCGGGGTACCAGCCCCCCAGGCTCACCAGGAAGATGAAGGTGGGGTACCAGCCCCCCAGGCTCACCAGGAAGATGAAGGCAGGGTACCCGATGAGGGCAATGGCCGTGGACAGCTTCCGCTTGTTGCCTCCGCTGTAGGTGCCGGCTGGCTTGTCCGCGTACTTGGTCAGCTCCAGCTTCTCCAGGGCCCACCTCACCACCTGGGGCAGGGGCAGACGTCAGAGGCCCGCCCTCCCTGCCGGCCCCTCCTCCACCCGGCGACCCTCACCTGGGCCTCATCTTTCCAGGGGATGCCGCGAAGCCGCGTGTACAGCTGCAGATGCTCCCGGGCCGTGAGCTCGTCAAACAGGGCGTCGAACTGCGGGCAGTACCCCAGGCTCTGCTGCACCTGGAGCAGCTCCTTAAGCACGCTGGGGACGCAGCGCTGTCAGCACCGGGCGCAGTCCCTCTGCCCGCCCAGACGCACACCCCGGTCCAAGCCCACCAGCACCTGTGCCCGTTGACGAAGGCCTCGCCCCCTGTCGTGCTCTCGTCACCCGTCAGCATCTTGAAGGTGGTGGTCTTGCCTGCACCGTTGACGCCCAGGAGGCCGAAGCACTCGCCAGGACGCACGCCCAGGCACAGGCGGTCCACAGCCAGGATGCTGCCGATCTTCCTGGACTTGTACACCTGGCAGAGGTGTACACCTGCTTGTGCACCTACTCAGAGGCACCGCTGGCCACACTGGCCAGCCCGGGCCGGTCCCACCCAGCTGCCTTGACCACGTGCCCCCCGTGGGGCTGCCCCCCACTGCCCTGAGCCCCCCCCGTAGGCAGCACAGGGCCCACCCCAGGCTCACCTTGGTCAGGTTCTCAATCTTGACCATGTCGTTGTCAGCATCCCCCCGCAGCACCCGCTGCCTCTCGCTGGCCACGTCCGGGTCGTCCTCCACGGGCTTGGTCGACACGGGCATGCGCCTGGGGGACGGGGCATGCCATGTCCAGCTGGCCCGCCCGCCCACACTGCCCGCGCTCCCCGCCCCTGGCCGGGCACACTCACCGTGGCTGTCGCAGGAAGTTGTACTGGCACATGAGAGTGAGGACGAAGCCCACGAAACCCTCCACCGTCATGGCCACCAGCCCCCTGGTGACAATGTCCCACTCGAACGGGGACTTCATCTTATCAAACTGGCCTGTGGGGCAGCCGGCTCAGGGCCTGTGCGGGAGGCCTCGCCGGCCCCCACCTGCCCCCCGCTCCTGGAAGTCCCCGATCTCTGGGGCTCAGTGCATGCTGCCGAAGCCCCACCCCAAGGGCCCTGCT